CGAAAACGAACAAGAAGAATCTCAAACGCAGTCGGGACGATGCTTAACATGTCAACGGTCCTACTGTACAGTAACGGCTTGATGATCCGGGGGGAGGGTGACTCATGTGGCCACCATCACGAAATCACCATCATCACGGTCGTGTTCTCATCCCTCCCGGAACCTGGCATTTTCCCCTATTCTCGAAGATCTTCAAGCCACTCGATAAACACGATTCGTCTCGCAGTCCTCGTCGTCTGTTATTTTGCTCCCAACTCCGGTCGACACGGATCCTGGCGCTGTGGAAGGAGTCTGGCATGTTGCTGGCAGCGCTTCCTCCAACTTCAATGCCTGGGTTCTGAAGATGACCAAAGAGAAGCACACGCAAAGTGCCAGTCTATTGCAACAGAATTCTGTGGAGGGGGACAAAAGTAGTAAGGAGCATACACTACCGAGACCAAGACTCCGATCGTGGCTCGTTGAACTCGGCCTCCGGCTCAGATGCCGTAGGGACCGGGGACTCGGAGATCTTGGCCAGCAAGCTCTGGTAGTCCATTTCCTCATCGCCCAGGGACTCCACCGTCGGAGTCTCATCTTCCTGTCAGGCCACATTTTCTGAAGTCCTAGCCCTTCATAACATGCTAGGTATCAAAGCTGAAGTCTGCAATCCTGCCGCCTGGCCTCTGGCTGCTAACCCGATCTACATAGCAGTGTTTCGCATCGTGTAGGCGCCCAAACTTTCGCTTGAGGTTTGTGAGACGCCTCCTTTCCCTTCGGCGATTAGGGATGCTTTCGTCCGCACTAGGGCTTTAAAATTATGATTTGGGGTCTTTAACGCTTCAGGGTGTAGGGAAAACAAAGCGCTGTGCTTGTCTTTGATCTGTAGAGAGAAAGATACCCCATTCTTTTGCTCCCCAGAACCGACCATGCCCTTGACTCTTCGCAGACTTAGGGAGAGCTCCAAGAAGTCCTCGAGTGTCGGGCTTTCAAGCTCGCCCTGGAAAGACGTGAGCAGCTTGACCAGTCCTTCTGCAATTTTGATAGGGGGTGGGTACCTTATTTAGGGGTCTTTACAATAAGGGTCCTACTATTTTCGGAAACTCCCATGCAGCTGTCGTTTGATGCAGGGATTGGGAGCTTTGATTGAGAGACTTGATAAGCAACTGGCTCGGCTTCACACGACTACGGCTTGGAACTTCTTGCGTGCCGGCTGTTGTTATTGAACTATAGTCTTGTACACGGGGCCATTTTCAAAGGTTCGGATGATACTGGTTTGTAGTGCTGTTACACGGGTTCTTTTGGTTGCTTGAATACGGGCTTAGGTTTCTCACTTCAGCGAGGGGCTCTGTACCAGCTCGACTTTGCACCGGCCCTGGTAGGTGTGTCACGGAGTCTTGTAAGTCTAACCTACGGCGTCGGGGCTGGCTAGTTCAGCACTTCCTGAACCCTGTCCTTTCAACCTCAAGTACATGTCTGCTTCGGGAGTCCGTGCGTGGGTCATGACTCATGATCCGTAGGTTCCTTTTTGAACGAGGTCTCTCTGTAAAGTTCCTAAAGCCCAAACCCTAAACCCCGTCAACCCCGGATCCATGATGAAGATAAATAATCCTGAAACAACCCTACACCCCTAAAGACCCTAAGACGTCGAGAACCTTGAACCCCAGAACTGCTCATGTGGGAACTGACATGCAACAATGGTAGCGCTTCGGGCTTGGGGCTGATGGGAAAAGGGCTGGGGCCTAGAGATTCTACATAACAGGAAGAGGGTTGGCGGGTTTACATCGGTGTAAAAAAGAACTTATTATAGCAATCCAGGACACACAAGTAGTATGATTAGGGTTGGGTGGTTTCGGGGCCAGGGTCGCTGGGCTTCGCCGGCTGAGGGAGGGAGGGTAGTTTGCCGAAGGGACGTGTGTGCGATGAGGGGGAGGTAAAATCTGATAACATTATGGCAGTTCTTGTTTGCCCGAATCACCCTCTGAAACCCGGGCCGTTCCTGGCAGTGGTATCTTCACCTGCAGGGCATGCACATTCAAACAGGGGTTCTGTTATCAGTGTCCCCACAAGGACACCCCAAGCATACACTCACCAACAGTCCCAAAGGAGTCGCATACACTAAACCTTTTCCTAAACTGAACTTAGACTCAGACCCCTAGCAAAAGTCACAGTTTAGCTGTTTCTTAGGGAGTATAGAAACAAAAAGATATAAATCATTTGTAGGTACCCCTACGAAGGTCTCAGTAACCCGAGTAAGGTTTGCAGCCTCGAGCCTGCCGAACGCTTCAGACCTTCGCGCCCGCAGCCTTCCACCCTTAAAGCCACCAGCTCTCTGAAAAATCTGAGCTTTGTCAGAGTTCAGGGCTTCGGGTTGCGGAATTTTTTGACCCCTGAGCATCTAGAGATGGTGGGACTAAGATACACAAACCTATGACATGAAGCAAATATATCTCGAAGCCTCATAGAGCCTCTGACCTGTGAAACCTTGAAGGCTTAACAAGCCCCTTAAACCTAAACCCTCGAATCCACAACTCTGCAACTTAAAGCCTTCAAACTCCAGAATCCCGAGTTGCCAATTCGGATTTCCTGGAAAACAGCGAAGGGCTTTGGGGGTTAGGCTCAGGGACCAGGGTTGAATTCAGGGTTTCGAGTTTAGAGGCTGGGTCAGGGTCTGGCGTTTAGGGGTTTCGGATTGTCGGTTCAAGGGTTCAGGGTTTGTGTTTGTGGTCCTGGAAATCCCTTACCCACATCCAAAAGCTTTACACCCACGAAACCTACGCTCAACGACTGCAAGCCAGCGCTCTTGCCAGGCGATCGGGGCCACGGCTTCGGGTTCATGGCACACCGACCATTTCAAATTCGAGGCCCCGCACCCTCAAACCCCAAAAACCCGACACCAACATACTGGACATCACCAGCTTCCGTAACACAACGATCTTCCTAAATCCCGTAACCCGGGCTTGGGGCTTCGCGTTTGGGGTTGGAGCCCGAAGCCTCCAAAGCCAGAGGGAGGACAAGCTCTGGGATGTTACCTTCGCTCGTGACTTTGCCTTGGCGATGGGGGCTTCGGGAGCTAGGACATAGGGGTCCTACCGGGGTGCTAGGGTTTAGGATGGTCTAGGTTTTGTGGGATCCTATATATAGGTCCTCTAGGGGTCTTATTCGGGATACAGGAGGGCTTTGGCAGTTGGCAATGTTGCTTTAAAGTAATTTAGGGAGCTGGGGGAGCTTCCTGGGTAAAAGGATTTAGTCGAGGCTTTGCGTGCTTGGGGTGTTCAGGGTTTATAGGGTCTCGTAGGGTGACAAAACTTGCAGGCTTTGTGGGTACCTGCACATTTCCCGGATGCCACATGCCCCCAAGCCTTACACCTAAAAGCGAAACTCACCAAAGCCAGAGGCACAAATCTAAATCCCGAATGCCAGAAAAAAGACATACAAAGAAGCTCGCAATTGCCTGCACTACACTGTTAGTGACTGTTAGTGTCTTGGACTAAATGGGATACGTAGGTCTCTGGTGTTGTTGCAGCAATTGCAAATTGACACTATAAGTTAGGGGGGTTACATAAGTCGTTCTGATAACTCACCACAAGCAATGTACTATCCCGAAACCAGAACTACTAGCCCTCCATCATCGGCCCTGTACCAGCTATGCCCCAAGACCCAACGCCCAAGCACAACAACCCCTGACACTCAACTGTCAAAGCCTAGCCCTAAGTGTGCAAGCAGCGTCCAAGTACTTGATAAACGGTACTGTATACAACCCCCCCTCCTCCCAAAAAAACACACACACACACAAACACACAAAGGCTAACCAGAGATACTTTGGAACCTGAGCCCCCAGCCCTGCAAAATCCTGAAGGAAACTCTCTTGAAAACCTCATATGACCATACGCCCTCATCCCTAATCCACACGCCCGAAAACAAAACACCCTGAAAACCCCTAGACCCTAATCTTCGGCGCTGAGTACCTTAGCACAAAGGTTGTTCATCTTTCAATCTCTGGTAAGCATGTAAAGACTGCAAGGCGCAAAACAAACATAAACATACACAAAAACGCATGTCACACACACACACATGTATATTGATGTATATGTGTATATATATATGTATATATATATATAATACATGTAGTCGTAAAGAGTATGATATGCCCCAAGCACTTCTAGATATTTGGTTAAACATTGCCTACCAGGCCCCGGTTGTGATGCCGCCGAAGTGCAGCTCGGAGGGCCACCGAAAGCGATGCGTATCGGCAAGGACAGGCCGGCCATCATCCGCAAAGCGAAGGCTCTTCTGAACTAAAGGCTTCTGGGGAGGCTGAAGGAAATGCAGGTGGGGTGATCTCTGGTTCAGAATCCCAGGGAGAATGCGGGGGTTAGGGTGTACCTGGCAACATACGGTTCGCAGTGCATTCCAAAGCTTGTCCTGCCATGCCGTGTGCTTCGCGACCCAAGAGATGTGAGAAGTAACAAAGCTACCATTTTCAGCCCAAGGCCTGCAGAACATCGGGGGTTGGGGTTTGGGGTTCAGTTCCTCGCAGGAACTACGGGGAGCCTGAATCACTGCCAGGGCCCGGCAAAGGCATCGGCAACTTATGACCAACAGAGACCTTCCGATCCTTACTTGGCCTTTTTAGGCTAGGATGCAGGGATGTATAGTGGAAGCCAGAAAGTTGGAACATGTGTATCCTCATGCCCTCACGGTAAAGTATAAAGGATCCTAGCACTAAGCCTCCTAAACCCGTGTTCCAACTTTCTGGGATTCGCTACAGGGGGTAGCTGCAGGGCTGGGTAGAAACCCAAGAAGCCTGGGGACCTTGGCTCGGGTCACCGTTCCGATAAAGCTGATGATATGAAGCCGTAACCGTATTAGAAGGGCCTTAATAACGAGAATAGGGTTTTAGGGTATATGATCCTATACCTATAATAAGCCCCTATATATTAGACTCCAAACTCAGCAAAGAACCAAGTCAAACCACTGTAAGCCTAAGATCAAGGACCCCCCCGAAGCCCGTAGCCCGGCACCTGCAAAGGGCCAGTCGGCATCGGCGTCGCCGGCGAAAGGAAGGTCGTTCCTCTTGAGTGAGTTGAGTGTCCACATGTTTTTCAATTATTGAATTTCTGTCCAGGGTTGCTTTGTATCGTAGCATGGGTTCGACGAGCGGTTCGGTGTACCAAACAATGCCAACACACCCCGTCCCCCTCAATTACCATATAAGTCTTGGCCCGTACGGGCTCTCCGCTTGTGATTCAGGCATGTGCCTGATCGGAACAACGTAAAATCCAAGCCCCACAAGCCGACAATGGTCGTAAAACAGTGTTGTTGAAGCCACCGGCGAAGATGGTGGCAGTGGTTGTGATGTTGATGATCACCCTAACCCTAAACCCCTACCCCCTTGCCCAAACATGCATATGGCATATGGTGAAATTGACAAGCTGCGAAGCACACAAGAGCCACTTGACAGGCATTCGCGCCAGCCATCCCGAGCTGCTGCTGCGCAGAAGTGCGTTGCAAACATTCCGCCTGTGAACGGAGTGGTATCTTATCATAGGGACATTTGCCGATGATGACGGTGGTGGTGCTGATGGTGATGACGATCATGATGCTGATCATAATGTTGAGGATATCCCTGCCTACTCTTACTCTCCTTACTCACGTCTCTCTTTCTCTGCAGTTGAATCAGGAGAAGCATTTTCAAGACATGGCCCAAACGATTACGGCCCAAACCCACTTTCGGTCCTTTGTCCCGGCAGGGGCTGCAATCGCGAGGGCGCAGGCAGTGAAGGGCGCACTTCGCCCCCTGAGGAAAAACTTTCGGCCAACCCTATAGTCTGACCACCTAATCGACACTATACTTACTATACCCCCCCATACTAAACAAATGTAATTGTATGAACAAAAACAAAAGGATGATTCCGAAGATGACTATACGATATTTAGGCTGCGGTGCACCTAAGCCGTAAGCAGGATCAGACGGGGTAGGGCGGCAGAGTTTGAAGGCGCATGGCTGTGCAATATGTAACACCTGACCTAGACTAGACAAGGCACCTTTGGCGAGGTAACTGTACCGTTTCTTTAAGGTCATATCCCTTCTGTAAACCGTAGTTGCTGAGTTCATTCATACGCCCCCAAAGGTGTACACTTTTAGTTTTATTGTGGGTAATATTATCCCAAAAAGTGTAAAGTGTAACCGCTCAGCTACTAAGAAACAGTACATGTTCTACTTAGGCATAGGTAGTTAGAGCGTTTACAACTCGGACTTGCCAGATGAGGCCCAACTTCAGGTCAAAGAGGTTCCAAAGGTAAAGGCTCGGAGTTTGCGCTTGAAGGCTTCGCAGGGGATTATATTTCGGAAAAGGGCTTTCGGGTAGATTTCTTGCAATATACTTCATTCTTCTAAGGAACCTTAACCCCAAGCCCTCCAGAACCTACGTGCGCCAAGGCGCCCGAAACCTTGCAAACCCTGAGCCCTAAACTGCAGCCCCTCAACCTCAACCCTACTGAAGGCATCGAAACAATCAACATAACTTTCCTTAGGCCTTTAGGGGGGACCCTGTTAAGGAACCCCGTAGTACCTGTTTAAGGGGACCCTATTATGAAACCCTAGAGTACCCCTTGACGGAAGCCCTGAAAATCCTGAACCTTTTCCTGGCCTTGGTGCCAACCGGCCCAGAATGCTTTGAAAATGTGCATCCCGCCTCAGCTTCGCAGAAAGCTTTTGGGCCTAAGTCGTGGTTTTGGTTTTGGGCGACCCTGCTCAAACCGAAATCTTAAACCCCAATTTTTCCAAAACTCCTGCCTATACTTAGACCCGGCATTGTCGTACCTTTGTCGTTCACCTGTTTTTAGCTATAGAAACTTTAACAATATACTCCACCAAAATGTGCTACAAGCAGCGTCTGGATACTCAGCACAGCCCCAAACCTAGCAAAAAGGGAACTACCTATGCTCGCGGAGCTCGAACCTCTGCGTCCAAGCGGCGCTGGATGGCCTCATCGACCGGTTAGGCTGTAGAGTGTAGAGTTTAGCCCTTAGCGGGTGCAGGGTTTAGTCTACGGGTTATGGGCTTTAGGGCTACGATGTTTCAGCAGTGCAGTATAATCGTCATATTAATGTCAACATATCATAGTGTAGCATGGGAGGCCATGAAAGAGAGAGAGAGAGAGAGAGAGATATATATATATATATATATATATATATACATATATATATATATATATATATATATATATATATATATACATATACATATATATATATATATATATGGGAGTTTCCGAAAAATCCGAATGCCTTTATTTGGGGGTCTTTATCATAAGGATCCTGCCACAGAGGGTACTATACGAGGGTCCCCTATTTTCGAGAAATCCCACATCCTAAACCCAGCTCCAATGACATGGGTGCGCTGAAGCTGAGACCTCCATTTTAAATCATCAACTGGTACACAGGGTTTTACAGGGTTCTACAGAGTTTCGGAGTTTAGGGTTAGGGTGTTACAGGTTTCTCCGGGGTTCTCTAAGGCTTCGGGGGTTTTGGGTTTTTTTTTACAAGGCTCTCCAGGGTTTGAGGTGTTTAGGTTTAGGGGTTTCGGGGGAGTCTGACGGGTTTGAAGACGAGGACCTTTCTGGTTACCATGGTCTTGCGACATTGGCACCAAATTTCAGAGCCCATGGCACAGCAAAGCCCACTATAATTCTGTCTATCCAGACGTAGGCATACCCGAGAAACGAAACCCTCGGTGCGAATGAAGCCCGTACATATACTTGAACCCTACATAATCCGAAGGCAGCAACTCCTGAAACAACTGGCAAACTGTAACCCGGACCTGCCTGGAAGATGCGGCATCGTTCTGGATCCCGGAAAAGAAAAGCGCTGTGCAGCTTCCTCGGCGGGGCGTTTTGGAGTTTAATTAATCTGGGACATCTTCTTATAGCTACCAAGTATTCACCTCCTTTTTATTGGGCCTTAATTTGATTCTACAGTGATTAGGGTTTAAGTTGTTTAACTGTTTCAGCCCTAAACCATACCTCCATTACTGCCAAATCCGAGACCCTTTACCCCTGAACCCTAATTGAAAAGCATCAAACAACTTGCAACCCGACCCCTAGCGATTAACAAATAGCCTAAAAGACTTGTTTAGTATGGCCTTAGGGGACAAAAAGCTTAAAACCATGAGTCCTTGTCGGAAAAGGCTTAACTTGTCCGGCCGCATTCGCTTAAGAGCCTAATTAACCCTAAACCCTGTCAGTCGAACGGCTACGATAGGGGCCTTGATGATTAGAATTGGGTTTTGCGGTATATTATGCTATAGTTACAATAAGGAACCCCCCAAAATAGTATAGGCAATTAGTAAGGCCCGTCTAGTAAATCCTTATACTAGCACTTATAGTACCCCGTATAGATCCTTATTTCGGAACCCTATTAAAATTGTCAAGGCCCCTATATTAGCTGCTAGCTCTTTTGCAGGGCTCTCCCGGTTCTATCGAAATCTTGTGGTTCGTGCTAGCGGCCGAAGGGTCCATTTAAAATTAAAGGGCTTGAAGTTAGTTCATGTTTTCCGCAGGTTAAGGTCTAGGGCTGAAAGGGTAGACGTTTAGGGTTTAAGCTTTTTAAACTAAGGTTTCAATTCCAGGGTTCAGGGTTTACCCTAAGCCTCCCAAACCTACCGATCGCTCATGTATGGAGGCCAACGAGAACAACTGCAACCTCAAAGCGCAGACCAACCCAACCCCCCAAACCCCAATCTACGTTCCGACACATATTTGGGAGTTTCCGAAAATAGTGGACCCTAGTATGATACCCTAAATCGTAGGATCCTTATTCTAATATATGGGCCCCCCAAAATGAGGCATCCCTAAGTTTCGGAAACTCCCATGTTTCCCCTTCTACTCTTCCGAAACCTCCCAGTCCTACTGGCTTAGCCGAGCGACACTGCGATGCCGAGCTTTCCGGCGAGCCGCTGCAGCTCCGCCTGTACTCGCACATGTCGGGACGAGGGGGTTTAGTTTAGGGTCTATGGGTTTATAGGGCTTAGGTTTTAAGAAGGAAGCAGTAGGAACCTGGGAATATACTGTAGGGGCCTTCATAATTAGAATGGGGTTTGGGGGTATACCATACTACGATACTAATAAGGACCCCCCCCTCCAAAACAAAAAAAAAAACGATTCTAATTGTTAAGGCCCCTAGATTAAGAGTCTGAATTCCGAGGGCGATTGCAAAGTGAGTGGGGATTCGCAAGGTCCAATGGTGGCAGGACTTGGGGTTCGGGGCTTAAGGGTTTAGGATTTCATTTCTGCAGTGCACGAGTACGAGTTCCATGAGGGCAAAGCTTCGGGTGCGGCTACAAACTACATAACCCTAGACCCTAAACCCTAATTACTGGTATACCCCAAAGACTGAACCCGCTGGCACACCTTAGACACAGACGCCTGGTGTACCCTACGTCCGCAAGTCTGCTCAGTCTGGAACTTGTCTCAAGCCGGAACTGCCGCAGAACAGCCCCTTAATCAGATACCCCTGTAGTCGACGACACCCAAAAAAAACTAGGTGACGATCTGCAATCCTCTGCAAGCGCCACCCATATAGGACGTTGTTAAAGTCACATGCAGAAGACCTGGCTTCGAAAAGAAACCCCACATGGTCTGCGCACAGGTAGTGGCCTCGCGCCGCCTCTCGCCCGGCTCCTCGCGCCTCTGACAAGATCGTCGGAGCCCCTGAACACCGAAACTTTGAAGCGTACAGGTTTATGAAGATATCACCAGGGACTTGAGGCTTAGTCTTGATCTTGGGGTCACTCTGCAAGCCTAGATTCCAGACGCATCCACACTTCCACCGTGGCTCGGGTAACTTTGCCCGACCAGTCCAGTTTTTGGAAGATGCAAGCATCCCCTTGAGAAGGAACCTCACCTATAGCAGACTGATGCTATGAAAAAGCCACACACCCAAAACCCAAAAACCCTTAAAGCCCCAAAGGAGACGCTAAACATCAAACCCCAGAACCCTTACACTGATAAATGAGCCCCACCGCGACACTGCACCCACGGACCTCCCCAATACAATGTAGACCTAATCCTTGACCCCACACCCCGAACCCCAAAGCCCTAAACCCTACATACACCCTAGACTTCTTTAGACCCTTAGCTCCTATACCCTTTGGACCCTAGGCTCCTACGCCCTTTAGACCCTAAGCTCCTACACCCTAAATCCGTAAACCCTCCACCTGTTCAGATGGATCTCCGTGGCGCCAATGTCCTGGGCCATTCGAACAACGAGATCTGCGGAGGAGCTCTCCTGACAAAGCCGGGCTGGGCATAAATAACAAAGGATACGATTCAGGGTTTAGGGTTTAGGGCATGACGTAGGATGTAGTTCTCGATTTGGTTTGTAATTCTGTAAGGCATTTGAGTGTAGTTAGGGGTTAGGGACTTAGAGTATCGGCTTTTAGGCTTTACGCTGGAGGGAGCTATAGGGCTTCTGACTGACAGTGGAGATAGGTTCGGAGTTGCAAGCATGTCTGTCTCGGATCGGAACGAGGATCCAGCATGAGAGCTTCGCATGCGAATCTAGCGATGCGACGTGGGATGTTTCCATGCATCCGACTACACCTATTATGTAGAAGCTGAGCCAACAGCACTATTACAATGCAGTATATATGAGTCTAGACGAGGCATTCGGGCCTTCGGTACCAAAGACAATATAAGGCTTCGGTCTGGGGTCCGCTTTGTCATGTTCTTAACGACTCTCTGCCACTTGTCGTTCTTGCCTTTCCTCCAGACCCCTCAACCTTACATACATGGCAGCCAGGACATATCTGGACTAGAAGGACTAAACATTCCAATAACCACACGTAGATGGAGAGACCGATAGACCGACAAATAGAAATATGGATGGATTGATGGATTCACGGATGGACGGATGGATGGATGGATAGATGGATGGTTGCATAGCTGGTCAGTCGCAGATAGACAGACAGGCTCGACTCCGCCGAATATGGCCATCTTACGGGCTTGACCGGGTCGAGTAGATCGAGACACTCACTGTCTGAAGACTAGAGGTTAAAAGCCCGGAACCATGAGTTGTCGCATTTAGTGCTGATACGGATGCAGGCCAGGCATGTGTATATCATCTGAGCTCCCGCATCTCTGTATTCTGGAGCACTCGAAGGCCTTTTCGTTCCTCGTTCTAGTATGCTTGTAGACCCAAACCCTGGAGAGGCACTGAGGGAACCAACATTCAACAAGTCCAAGCAGATCCTCCGATTGAAGCAGTCGCAGCCGTACACCTGCAGGTGGCGGAACACATAGCTCGTCGTGAGTTGAAAGGCTTCAGCGCCCTTTACTTGACTGCTGCATCCGGAAACAATTAAACCTTGTGTCCCTGTGGCGGCTGGAGTTGCGTCCAGGATGAAGGTCTTTAGGATTTCAAGTTCAAGCTCTTATCATTGATCATAGATTTAGAGTTTACGGTTCAGGGGTTTTAGAGTTCAATCTTATGTTATAGATCTTGAAGTGTCGAACGTTTCTCTTTAGAACGGGTGCTGAAGAGGAGCTGGAAGCTCTACATCTAGTCCAGTCTAGGCGTTTTACTTATGCTCTATCGAAAGCATGCTGCAGTCTCCAAGGCATCTTATGAAGCTTTCAGAGCATGCGTAGTAGCTTTAAGAAGTCCCCAGGGTTCTCTCGGACTTAGAACAGAATGATACAGATAATGTGCTCTAAGCTTCTTTGCACTTCTCACAAAATTTATGTGCAAAACTGGTTCCTCAATCGAAGCCAGATTAGCTGCCTCCTCGTTGGGCCATGGCCGAATCCAGCCAGGTCAGCGTGGGAGCCAGGAGGGCGTGAAGAGTGGTACCCTGGTAGGCTTTAGTATGTGTGTGTGTGTGTGTGTGTGTATGTATGTGTGTGTGTATGTATGTGTGCGTGTGTGTGTGTGTGTGTGGCTTGGGGCTGCTTCGGTGGAGGGCTTACGGCCCATAGTGTTCAGTGCTTCAAGGGTTTGGTCTTTAAAGCTTCCCCTAAGGGCAGGGTTGCCCTATTCTGGACTTCGAAGATTTGACGGCAAAATCTGAACAGGACAACCCTATCGGCCGCCAGACAACCCAAAACCCTTCAGAAACCTCAAGACAGAACCCTGTGCCAAACCCTCTAGAACTATGAAGCCCCAACCGGCTCGAAGAGCCATGGATGCCCAAAGCCCTGAAGCCCAACTCCTTAGCCCGAAATGTGGGAGTTTGCGAAAATAGGGAATCCTAATATAGTACCCTAAATGATAGGATCCTTACTAAAAGGACCCCAAAATAAGGTACCTCCACTTTTCGGAAACTCCCATGCTGGAGCTACTCACCCAAGGCTCCCAAGCGAACGCGCAGCAATGCTGTGAGCCCATGATTTAGGGTTTGGTTGAGAGGTGCAAGCTGTAGGGGCTTCGGGTTTGGAGGTTCTGCCTTGAGCATCTATGGGCTTGGACAGATGGGGACAGGATGGAACGGGATTGAAAAGCCGAAAGCAGCGACACCCGACCTCGTAGCTCCAGTCGTGCCGCCCGCTCGCTCGGGGACATGCATGTGTTCGTTCCTCCAGAGAGGGTTCCAAAAACCCAAGCCCTAAGATTGAAGAATGGGGTGTCCTCTTCATGGCACCATGCAAAGTGTTTCTGAAAACACACACAGAGAACACGTTTCTAATCAGCCCGAAGTTCCACACATTTCGCATGATTTCATGCTCGAGTGTCAGCGAAAGTTGCATGCACCAGCATCTTGGAGCCATTTCGTCCCCAATCGCCCTTTGCAGATCCCTGTAAGGAAACCTTCAGGAAACCTTTATAGATGCCTCTAAGTCGAAGGAGCCCTTTAAAAGGAGCACGCAACTATGGCGACCTTGAGTTCCATGAGCTCCTGGAGATCAGTCCAAGGAACGCTTCTTCACCCAGAGGGTGCTCTATCTATCTACCTATCTCCATACATATATATATATATATATATATATATATGCATGTCTGTGTGTGCTCATCATGTGTCTACATGTATATGTATATACTATGTATCTATATATATATATATATATGGACACACCCCCCCCATGACCTACCTCGGCCTCTTTTCCATTGTAAATACCGTCAAAACCTTCTCTTGGCAGGGATTCGCGTTTGGCATACGATTCGTGTTCTGCGTAATTTTCGGGGATGATACCTTCTCTATCATGGCTGATGTGAAGTCATGTCTCTTTACAACGTCGTGCCTACTCATGTCCGCTTTCAAATTCATATGCCTGTATTCATAAGCAAGAAACATTAAAAGAAACCATACGATACGACGGCGGAAACCAAAAAACCAAAAATCCAAAAATCCAAAGCCTTTCTGAGGGGCCCGAAACTTTTGGATTTTTTGGTTTTCCTAGGTCTTTTTTGGTTTTTTGGGCTTTGCCTTGGCGAAACCATGGCTTTTTTTGGATTTTCGGTGGAAAACCAAAAAAACACAAGGTTTTTTTGGTTTTTCTGCTGTGTCTCTCGTGAAAAACCAAAAAACACCTGTGTTTTTTTGGATTTCTGCTGGAAAACCAAAAAAAACCTTGGATTGTTTTGGATTTCTGCTGGAAAACCAAAAAAACCTTGGATGTTTTTGGTTTTCTGTTGGAAAACCAAAAAAACCCTAGGAAAACCAAAAAATCCAAAAGTTTCGACCCCCCCTGACAAAGGTTTTGGATTTTTGTTTTTTTGGCTTTTTGGATTTTTGGTTCTCGGAGCCTTAGAGCCAATACAGCGCGCAGCATGCTTGATCGGAAATGGTTTCGTTGTGTACGCGCAGTAGTCTTCAGATGTGCATTAGGCATTAGTGTTAGTATTAGTATCTGCGTTCTAGCGTGTTGATTCGTGTTACTGTTAGTGTTGGTGTCAGTGTCAATGTCGATTCCAATGTCAGCGTTAGTATTAGTCTGAATATAAGTCTATACAATAGGTGTACTAATGGTAGTGTTAATGTCTAGTGTGAGTTTTAGTATTCGTATTAGTCTTGGTCTTAGTCTCTGCCTTATTCTTAGTGTTAATATTAACCAGTGTATAGTCTCATAGTCTATGGTAACATTGGAATAGTAGTATACGAGTATATTATTTATTGGTATGTGAAAATACAGATTCTTTGGTACATTGATGTGTCTGTTTTTGTATTTGGTTTGAACGTGATTATTAGTATTCGTAGGAGCATTAATATTGGTATCAATAGCAGTATCGCTGTTCATACTATGCATAATCGTATTATCTGGAGTATCAAGTGGTAATACTGCTATTCATGTTAGTGTAGGTTTTTTAATGTGAATATAAATACTGAGAATAATTAATAAGACTATGCGCATTAATCTGCGGAGGAACTGTATCACTTATGTGCATATTAGTATTAATGTTAGCATTTGCGTGTATATTGGTAACAAATAAAAAATAAAATTACTATCAATATGGGTATGTTTTTTAATATTCGTAGGAACACTAGTATTCATATTAGTATCGGTATTACTGAAAGTACCCGTCTTCGTAAAAGTATTTGTAATCATACTAATTCATATCAGTACGAGTATTAAGATGAATTATGATGCGCATATGAATACTTTCGAAGGAAATGCTGACCTTAATACGAATACCCATATTAATGTCCTATTATGTATAATCGCAGTAGCCTGAGTATTGGTATGAATATTCGGACAAGTATTAGTATTCCAAACAACTAGTACTATTAGTATTCATATTGAGAACAGTTAATAAGAATATGCGTATTAGTATCCCCAGGAGTGTTAATATTCCCATCAGCACTACTATTCGAATTAGTAGTGCAATTTTTAATACTAGTATTAACCATTAAGCCTATTATGTTATGAACAGTAATATCCTTATTCGTAGGAATAGAAATCTTAGTATCAGTATTAGTATTCGCACTAGTAATAGCTATTATACACATTGGCGCATGAGTAACCTAAGAGCTTCACACAGAATAAACATGTGTGCACATGTAACCCTCATTACGATCCTAGGTAGGATGCACACATCGTTCTGTTTTGGTCCCGTCTTTGGGTTATGCCTATGAGTACATGAACAAAATTAAAAACAGACAATGACAAACACAAAGTTACCCGGCGCATCTAACGATCTTACGTAGGATGCAGACACTGTTCTGTCTTGGTCCTGTCTTCGGGTTATGCCTATGGTCATTATATGACCAGAGTTATGAATATCCGGAACATTTAGGCAGTATCCTATTAAACAATTGCAGGCATTGAAGCTTGCCCAAATCCGCCAACGGCGATGTCGCGCCGTCGTAGGTCATTACAGTGTATTCAGCTATTGATTATACACGATATATGTTTCCATTGTTTATGTATGAGTGTATTTTATCCTAATGGTTTCCTCAAATCCTTACATGTTCTACTACCCATTGCTAGCCGAAGCACCTCGCGGTAGGTCTTGGGGGGGGTGTGAGCATATATATATATATATATATATATATACATACTTATATACATATATATATATATATATATACATATATATATATACACATATTAATGGAATGAGGTCCCCGAAGCCAGAATAAAAGTGGTCCTCTCTTTGTGACCCAGTTCCAGAATGATGGTCTATGTGGACCCTCTGGGTTATAAATCACACCCTAAACCACAAGAAGTGGGTGCCCGACAAGAGAGACGCTTCTTGGTTGGGGGTTATGGAATATGAGGAGCTGATGGTCAAGTATGGTGGAATTCAGGTGTATAGTGTCCATATACCTGTGTAGTATATGCATATAGGCCTTTAGGTACCTATGAAAGGCAAGCGCTGAGAAGCCAGCCAAAGCGTAGAACATATTGTACATGTACATGTACATGGACTCTTAGGGGTAGTTTGGCTTTGAGGGCTTGCGGCTCAAGATATGAGCGCGGAAAGTCTCGGTGCAGGAATAGAGGCAACTGGGTCTGAGTAAGCAGGATATAATCAGGGGATCCTTAAAGGGTCCCTTAATTACGGGGATCTATCAGGGATCTTTCAAGATTTAGCGTTGTCGGACCGAGGAAGTAGGATAGAAGTGAAGTAGTAGTTAGGTGGTATAGAGTTATCTGGACAAGTCCCCTCAACCTTTGTGTACACGAGGCTCGGCTGCCGGAAAAAAACATGTATTCTTCTCAGGACTAGTCCCCACAAACACTTCCCCTCGTGTAAGACTTGTGATGGCTTAACCCCGTTCTCAAACCCGCGTGAAGTCCGATATGAACCAATACTCGAATAACCTTAAGTACGTACAGGTGCATGCACCTAGAACCTCATGCCCTGCCCAATGCCTGAGCCACAACCTGTCATAGGGCGTTGATGGCCTCTTTGGGGCACCAGGCGAACACCGGCACTACCTTGACTGGCTGGTCTGCGTTCTTGTTTTTGTGGCTCTTTAGTGGTTTAGGTGGGGTTGTCGGACGTGCGACAATTTGGGTTCGTGTGTTTCAGGTCTAGGGTCTCGGAGTGGGACTGAGACAGTTTCGATTGTCCAGTATGTGGGTCCAGGCCTCATGAACTACAATTGCAGAGGTGCTGAACGGATACGGAAAGTGTTCCAATTTTCAAGATATCTTCATGATCCTGTCTGCCATTGCAATGCTTGGGTGGTCCCTGTGATGTATCTCCACTCCACTCAACAGACGGTCCTACAGAGACTTATTACCTTTGGAAGCTCCGTTATGTCCGGTTATGCCAAGCAACGCAAAAGACGCTGATTATCAGAAGCCCCGCCCCCCAAACCCAAAACCCTAAACCCCCAACCCTACATATATATAT